GAAATGGCTGACCGATATGGTTCACGTAGCAGCAGCAGCTCTTCTCGTTCCTACTCTCGTTCATCTTCTCGTTCCTACGGAGGCGGTCGAAGACAAAGTTATGGAGGTAGAAGACAAAGCTATGGTGGTCGAAGACAATCATCATCCTATGGTAGAAGACAAAGCTATGGTGGTCGCAGACAAAGTTATGGAGGTAGAAGACAATCATCATCCTCTCGATCCTATGGTAGAAGACAATATTCCAATAATAGATCCTATGGTAGAAGACAATCTTCCAACAATAGAAGATCCTACAGTGGAAATCGAAGACAATCTTCATCCAGAAGACAATCGAACAGAAGACAACAATCATCTTCAAGAAGACAATCTAGAAGACAATCCCAACAACAAAACAGAAGACAATCTCAACGACCATCTTCTAGAAGACAATCTCAACAACAAAACAGAAGACAAACCCAACAACAACAACCAAGAAGAGATGTTGCTGCTCGTGCTGTCGATCAAGCTCTCGGAAGACGAGTTGCTGCTGGACCAACTGGTAACGCCATTGCCAACAAGATTTCTCAAATGTATGGATCTACTACTAAGGCAGGTGGTTATTGCGCTCGTGCTGTCAGAACTGCCATTGAAGCTGCAACTGGTAAGACTTTACAAAGAACTCAAAGCGCCAAGAATTATGGACCTAGTTTGGAGAAGGCTGGATTCCAAAAGGTAACTGGACCAGCAAGAATTGGAGATGTTGCTATTTTCCAAAGGTAAGTTTTGAAACTGATTTGTCATGATTTGGTGTTGATTTTTGTGATGAATCCTATTGTTTATAATTTGGGTTTTGTACTTTGGAAAATAATTTTCATGTGAACAGTGTGCCAGGACATCCACACGGACATATTCAAGTATTGACTGAAAGAGGATGGGTTTCTGATTTCAAGCAAAGAGATCAATATCCAGGTTCTGCTTACAGAAATAGACAAGCTCCAATGCAACTCTATAGAGCTGAATAAATTGAGAGTTTTGGAAGTAACATCAACAGTGGATCCACATGTAATACATTCTTTTCAGCTGACTGACGTGAAGTAGAAAGGGCGTTTCGTTTGTGTGAAATTTTTTTTACAATTCTCACAAAATTATAACAAGAAAAATGTCATCATCGGAACAACGTCCAGTTTCCATCGTGACTGGATCATCGAGAGGAATTGGATTCGAGATTGGCAAACAATTGGCTCTTCATCATGGTCATGCTGTGGTTCTCACAGGATCCAATTTGGAAAAGTTGAAACAAGCTCATGATGAAATTTCCAAAGAAGGAGGTGTTTGTTCGTATGTTTGTGTGGATTTATCCAAACCATTCAGTGAGAAGAGTATGTTTCAATCATCATGAATTATTTTAACAATATTTAACAATATTACCACTGACATGTTCCGATTACTTGTTCAAAAAGATCCTTCTCATCCGCCTGCCTATGATATTTTTCAACACACCCTACAACATCATTCCAAAATTGATCATTTAATTTGCAATGCTGCCGTTTTAGGAGCCATTGAAAAAATTTCTGATTTTTCCACTGAACAATTGACTCACGAACTTTATCAATCGTATCAAGTCAATATTCTAAGTGTCATGCAACTTTGTCATTACTGCCTACCAGAATTGAGAAAATCAGCAGCCATGAGAGAACCACGCAGAGGTGGAAATATTCTTCTCGTAAGCACTGGATTAGCTGTTAAGGCATTTGAGGGAACTGCCATGTATGGAACTACCAAAGCAGCACTCAATCATTTTGCAACGTATTTGGATTGTGAAGAAAAATTATATGCGGAACGAACTTTTTCTGATGAACCACAACAACGACGTGTGAAAATTGTGGCCATTCAACCTGGAATGGTGGACACGGATATGCAACGAGATGTTCGTGAAAGCGGTAAAAACAAGATGAATGAATATGGAATATTTGTTTCAGTGTATGAAAAGGGACAATTGGAAAGTGCTGAAAAAATTGGAAAGATTTTGAGTTGTGTCGTGAATGATATGAAAGTGGAATGGAGTGGAACATTCAAGTCGTATCAACATGAAGATGTTCTTGAGCTTTATAAGAAGAGTTATGGTGTTTTGTGAGAGATTGCATTTGAGTTCAATATTAATGAGGAGTACTAGCGGTGTTGGGTAAGAATTCAAGGCCTCCCGCCAACGAAGTAGGAACAACGGCGATGGTTGAGGAAGACCGATATTCGACTCGAACGCAAAGTGGAATTAATATTGTACTTCTAATTTAATTTCTGTGCTAGATTGTCGCTACTCATTTGAGGTTCAGTATCCAAAATCTTTTCAATATTTCGGACAAATGGCTCGTTAATCCCTTTCTCGTCATGGCAAATATTGTTTCGCATATTCTTTGTACTTTTCCAGAACTGATAAAGCAATTTAACATCTTCTCTTACCAGCCCGCATAATGTTTCACTATAGTGGCCGTTTATAAATTCTTCAATACAATTCTTCCAGTTCGAGTTGATCGTAATTCGGTCAGAACATTTCTTTAGCAATCTCTTGCTGTAGTTGCATTGATTCATCTTGTCCACCTTCGTTTTGACCTCTTCAACAATAGACTTCAACTGTTTGTTCTCCTTTGAAAGAGCTTCAACATCACACTTCAATTGTTTGTTCTCTTTTGAGAGAGCTTCAACATCACACTTCAGTTGTTTGTTCTCTTTTGAGAGAGTTTCAAAATCGCTCTTCAAATGTTGTTCTCCTCTGTCAGGTTTTCAATAACACACCTATGTTGTTCCAAGCTTGCTGTAATAACTGCAAAACGGTCTTCCATTTTCTTTGTGAGTTGTTCTAATTCTTCATTCTTCTGCTGCAATTTAGTCTTGTATTCTTGATTCTCCTTCAAAGTTTTAAGTGCAAATTCCTTGTTGCGTCTAACATGATCCTCCAATATTTCATTGCTTGGAGAGGAGAGTTGGGTGGGCTCTTTGATCACTTCAGTCTTTTTGGTTGGGTTCTTCAAATTATAGAGTTCTATTGCAATATCCTCATACTTTGGTAAAGTCGGATCCCTTAACAGCCCGAAATTGGTGTTAGGCAAGTCAAACCTTTGTGCCGGTTCTACCTTTCCCCAATAATAAAGCTCACCTTCGGATCTTAATGCTCTCATCTGTTCATCAGTTGCAATGGTACTTGGACGAGGGTCAATAATATGAAGCGGTTTGCTGGTTGGTGTGGAAGAAATTGCTGCCTTAGAGCCTCGTTTCTTGGTCATGGTATTTTTTATTGCAGTATATTCCAAGCTCGAGAGAAGCGTTAATGCTGTTCACCACAACAGCCATCTGTACCGTAATTTAGTGTTTGGAAGAGATTTATTTCATCTTAAATTTTACGGTCAGGATCATTCTACGGAATTGATCAAACAACACTTCTTCTGCAACAAGCAACAACTCTGTCGACCATCACACAAATATGTACACAAAACTATATTAAACCTCATTACATTTTGTTGAGTACAAAGAGTAAAGAGGAAAAAACATTGCTCTATTTTGCTCCGAACTGCATCGAGTTATGAATCCAATTCTGCCGCTGCCTTTTCGTATTCGGCGACGTTTTTGCGTTGGGAGTTTCCAAGTATCTATTAATGACCTGGGATATGATAACAACAAACAATTACGTGCACCCTTTTGACGCTCATGATAGATGGAACTGACGAAAATCGAATTGAACCACTTTCCAGCTTAAACACAACACCAAAGAGATTAGGAAGACATTATATTTCCTCTTGGTCAGAGGAGCAAAATCAGTCTCAGAAACCAACATGATTGGAATCAAAGCCTTGAATCTTGATGAGCCAAAGAGGGGTGGCCTCGGTTATTTCTTAACCCATGCTTCCAAGAAAAACAATTTCTGTCATGTATGGTGCTGACCGAAACAGACATACATACATGACAGAAATTGGTGTCAATTCTCTCAGTTTGTTGGTCAAACCATTCAGCTTGTATTTGAGCTTGCATTTGAAAGATCTGTTCATGGAAAGGTCACACATAACTTCGCTTGCATTCTTCGGTAATGGAAGGATAGTCATGTCTTTAACCTTGTTTTTGATATGATCAATATTGGGTTGGTGGACAATAGTGTTAAGATATCGAATGTGAGAATTTTGTGGCCATCAAGATCTTTGAGGAAAGGAATTAATGTAGAAGTGCAACAGCTTTCCGTGGTTGGGTGGTCTATCCGTGCTTTCGCTTGTGCAAAAAACTTCACATTGATTTCATGGCGAGAATGGCACCTCTCACCCTGTGCGTGGCTTGAATACATTATATTTCCAACCAAAAATGCTTTGCAGAAGCTAATACCAATCAATCAACATTATCCTCTCCAATTAGAGTGACACCAATTTCTTCTCTGTTTCTATAAAGAACCCCAGAATGAACAACTTTGTCGATAGATTGGTTTGCTGTTTTAGCACCTGATTCATAAATGAATTTCCATGTTACATTAAAATTTCCAATTACTATCGTTTCTTGTAACTTTGAATAATATCCAGGCCTATACTCTGTTGTTGTATGTTGGTTGTTAGTAAAGTCATTGTTATATGAAAATTTTCGGTGAAGCAATTGCCTTCTATTGGCCTTATAACCGAATGATTTAGTGACGCTGTGTATTATTATCTCCAATAGAGAAAATCTATTTCTTTCAGGAACCTCGTCAAGTTTACCCGGTTGAGAGGCCTTGTACTTTTTGTTCACTATATAATCTCTAGTAAATAATGATTTAAAGTCTGTGAATGTGTTTTTTTCCCAATAATGTTCATCTATAGTCGAAATTATTACTTGTTTAAAATATAGTTTGATATTATTTTTGTATATTCAATAATTATATAGTCAAAACAAGGAAAATTATCGGTGTCAGGAACAACAAGAACAGTTGTTGTTGGGATATAATTTTCATAGAATAAAGTAGATAGGTCGGATCTAGAAAATGCAACTGGAAAATTTACGCTGTACTGAATCGTTTCAGTAACGATTTCTCTGGTAAATTTTTCATCTCGCACAGCACACAATATCTTATGGTATGTAATTTGTTGTGAATTTGCTCCTTCAAGCATCTTTAAACCATAATCCATCAACCCTCCTTGGACTGACTTTGGAAATACATTCTTGATATTTAGCGTATTAATATTGTGTTTACAATAAAACCTCCATAGGGCCATAGTAGCTGCGTTGTTGATACAATAAAGACGGAATTGTCTGCTCTATACAATAAACCTTGGTTATAACAGTATCCATCGATAGATGTTGGTCTACCTTTGCTCATATCTAGAGAAAATAGCGCATCTAAGGTCTGTAATAAGTTTAGTTGTTGATGTTTTGGAAAGTTTTCAATTCTATTAAAAAAACTTCCACATCTATACTCAATAAATGATCTAATAAAATCATCTGTAATTGCTCGTCCATGTAACCTTGTTGCCAAATAACTGAGCTCTCTTGGAATTCTTCCTGTAGCAATTTCGATTCTTTGATCATTTGGTTTCAAATCAAAATCTTTCACAAGAGTCTTAAATTCATCTTTGGCTAGAGGAATTAAATATATTACTTTACCCTCTTCACCACCAGGCAAAAGTTTTCAAGAGCGCTGCCACAATAAATGGTAATGGTATTATTTCCTCTTGTACTGCTGGTCCAATTGGTGTATGGTCGAAAATAATCTTGTTGGGCAATCATTTTCCCATAAACATTGAGTTCAAACATCTCATTATATTCATCAAATAGATAAAATACAGGCTGAGTTGACCCAATAAAGCTACTCATATATCTCACAATTTCATTAGTGTATTTCAAATTATCGATATGAAAACTGGAAAGAATATCACTATTCCAATATTTAACTAACGAAAACAAGTATTGATTTGCAATATTTGTACCTTCTTTGAAAGCAGTTATCCATTGTGCTA